AGGATGGACTCTGGAGGACAAGGGCAGCCAAGGATCTGCAGTCACTATACCCAGCAGGGGTGGCCTCGCTGCAGCTGGCTCAAGGGCCATCAGGCCCAAAGACAGGTCTTGGCTGTGCATTGGAAGCCCAACACAGGCACAAGTGGTGGGGACAATGTGAGATGGGAAGAGGATACAGAGGATCGCATGGAAGGGCCCAGTGTGACTCTAAGAGCACGGGTCCCTGATGGAGACAATGATCGAACCCAAGGCAGGAGTCCCGGCCCCATCACGCAGGCTTTTTAAGGGCCTCAGCTTGAATTCAAAGTGTTACAAACTGAGGACCCAACAGGCTCACACCACCCTATCCCATCGATGGGCTAGTCTGGGTGACACAGTGTGTTGTAAAAATAGAGCCAGCATCTAAAAACCAGGAGATGGTTTAGAAGCCCAGATGTCCCCAAAGCACTTCAAGCACTGACCATCCAGGGATGACCCTGACAGGCAGTGATAGGCCAGAGCCACACAGCAGCTATACCCCAGGTGGGCCCCACAGTGGACCACGGTCCCCTCCACTCTGCTTCCCTGACCTGCCTTCTGTGCTTGGCCAGCTCTTCTCCCATCGTCCTGAGCCCTAAGTAGGTTTCAACCACCGAATGCCACACACACTTTCAGACTTGGGTCAGCCCGGTACCCAGCTGGAGGTTGCACATGCTTGATTTCCTTCTCTTTGTTTATCATTATATTCCCAGAAAACTCCTAAAAAGCAAAACAAAGAAACTGTATCTTTCCCTTTGCATCTCCCCTAAGGCCCAGCACCAAATACAAAGTAGGTCATCAGTGTTTGCCAAATGAACGCATGAGTGAATGTGTGAGTGGATGAGTAAGTACACGGTCCTCCAGGATGGCCCTCTGCCCCTTCCTCCCTCAGCTCAAGCCTTGCGCTATTCCGAAGACAGCCTGAACTGAATATGGATATATAACAAGAGGTCAAACACAGTGGCACAGCGGATTAAGCCACCGCCCACCTCACACACATCCTGAAGTGGAACGCTGATTCAAGCCCTGGTTGCTCCAGTTTGTTCTAACTCTCTGTTGACATACCTGGGAAAGCAGAGAACCACTGCCCGCCCCAGGTGAACGTGAACGGCCCAGATGGAGATCCCTGCTCCTGGCTTCAATGCGGCCCTGGCTTGGGTACTGCAGCCAGCTAGAAAATGAACCTCAGACGGAAGATATCTCTCTCTCTCTCTCTTTCTCCCCCCCTTTCTGTCACTTTGCCTTTCAAACAAATCAAGTAGATCTTACTAATATAAAAATAAAAATAAAGCACTCAAGTCCACTTGTGCGTTCCTGTTACAATATTCTCCTAAGATAAGATGGAACCAGGAACTCTGTACAAATGCAAACCACCACTTTGGCTGGTGGCAGGAAATACTGGAGCCTAGGAGACCCAGGGCTCACAAATGCTATTGGAGCTCTCTGAGGACAGGGTGAGAGCCAGGAAACATATGCTCTGAATTTCAAAGGAGACAAAGCTAGCCACTTCCAGTTTGGAGAAAGGTTCCCAAACAGAGGGTGCAGAACCACTCAGGTGCACTCAGGGCAGGAACCTGTGTCCACGGCAGCACGCCCTGCTCCATTCCCTCCCAATGACAAGGCTCCTAGCCCAGGAGACTGCAGGACTACAGCTGACAGAACACACGCAGTGCAAGGAGCCAGAGGGACCAGCCAAAGAGGCCAATCTGACCCCGAGGTAAGGTTAAGGGTAGAAGCACAGATGGCACAAAGGAGGTGATGGCTGTTCCCGTTCCCCGACCCTGTCGAGTACTCACACTCAGAATTTAGCACTTTTTTCCAGGCCGGGTGCTAGTGGTACCACCTTTGAGAAGATCTTCTGGCAAGACCTCTTCAAAGACAGGAAGCTCTGACCCAGAATCCTGGCACCTACTGGAAAGCAGGAGCCAGCTGGCCCCCATTCCTAAGTGGTTTCACGTGGTGGAGCCTAGGTTAGGGCTGCCCTTGATTCAGGACGCGGGCTTGCAGGTCTCCTGGGATCACTACCATCCTCCCCTCTCTCCACCGCCCCCACCAAGCAGGGTTCTCTGCCAAGTACCCCAAGACCCTGAAGTCTGCATGCCAGTATGTACCTGCCCCCAAGGACTTTGGAGATAGTCCGTGTCTGAGAGGACCAGCTTACATCAGCAAACGAGGCTCATCGGAGTCAGGGGCTGACACTGAGGGATCCAAGCACCCATGGGGCGGTTGTGGAAGAAGGCGCGCCACCATCCATGAAGTCCCAAAAGGTAGGAACCATTCAGGCAATGGGTGGGCAAGACAAACAGGGCAACATATGAAAAACAGGCTTGCACAGGTCAGGACAGTGCAAAGACAGAACACACAGGACTTGGCTGGGTGAGCTCCAATCACTGGAAATGCGCCACTGCATGGCTCACGACCACCCAGCAGGTGCATGATCAGGGGGCTCTTGCATGTCTGATCATGCAAGACAAGACATGCGTCTAAATATTTCCACAACAGAAAAGAACCCTGTGGAGACACTCCCTTTGTTGGATCAGAAAATTCTTCACAGAGAAATACAAAGAAATTGAATCAACAAAGCACACAGTTCTGTTGTTAAATTTAAAATCTAAGTTCCCACCAGACTCCACAGGGTGCAAAAATCCGTCTGGTGAGGTGGGTCATTTGCTCCCACCCAACCTGGCAGCGCCCAGGGAGGAAAGTCCCAAGCACTAGGCATTATTCCTGGTTTTTGGCCCCATGGGCTTCAGAGACCAGAGCAACAAAGGCAAAGACAGAGCTCACAGGGCGAACAATGGGCCCGACCGGGAGACCACAGTCGTTGCCACAGAACCACCATCTGCCCCAGCCATCAATTCTGCAAGGGGCAGCATGGGCCAACAATGCATGCAGGAGTGGCCGGCCTGGGAGAAGCCTGGCCTTATGACCTTCGATGGGGTGCTCACTCACACTGGCCTCAGTTTCCCCACCTCAAGAATTAATTTCTCTGTCCACTGTGGAGGGTACTATGGGAGTGAGCTGGGTGCACAGCGGGAAGCCACCAGGCCCCAGAGGGCTTCTGGTGCAGCAGTAGCCTGGGCCGCATCTAGCGCATGCCAACTCCACAGACATGAAATCTAACTCCCTGGAACAGAACACTGAGAAATGCCAAGTCCAGGGAAAAAGTTGAGGTCAGATCAACCCATTTCCTGACCAAATTCCTTACCTGGTAATGCACGTTGATAGGTTGTTTTAAAATAAATAAACATAAATAAAGATGAAAGGCATGAAGTCAAAGAATGTGCCGGAGGCATCCATGCTGAGGTTGGCCCCCAGGTAGAGTTCCCTGGGCCTCTGGCAGCCGTGACCCCTTAAGAAACCAGATGAACCCGACCCCCAAACCCCAGGCTGGCCCAAATGCTGCAATTCCTCCCCCAGCCTCTGCTTGCACACAGCATCACCCCCAGAGGAGTATGAAGCGACACTAACTTGCCCCCAAGGGCATTTTCTGAGGCAGGGGCGGGGGACTGGCTTTAGGGCCATGCACGCTGCTTGGTCAAGGGCTTGTTTCTTGGTCACTCATCAGCAAGGCTGAGAACTAGTCAGTCACCAACACATTGCGAGCCAAGGAGGAGGGGGGCTGGGAAGAGGAGGGTGCTCAGCTCCTTAAGCCCCAGCATGCTGGTCTCCACCAGACTGACCGGCCAAAGACTGTGGGCAAAACCTGGGGGCTGAGGAGCCCCGCATCCGGTGACCACTGCCCTCACCAAGAATGCCAGCAGGTAAAGTGAGCAGGGCATCATCACTGCTAAGGCCTGGGGCACTGAGCAACCGACCAGTGGCTGCAGCACCTGAAAGCAGGCGTGGCCACCTCAGCTCACCGGAGCCCCAGGTGTCCACCGGTTACTGCAGGCCTGGGCCCTGACAGCCACAGAGGAGGTGTCCTGCATGCCCTCTTTCCCTCGGAGCCCACGACACGCCCTTGTGCCCCACCAAGCATTGCCACAGCCAGAAAACAGAAAGACATGGTGGGGCAAGGGCCAAGGCTGTGCTTGCAGCACGTCCTCGGGGAAAGGGTTATCAGAGGGCAGGGTGGACAGCCCCCCAGCTGACCCGAGGCCCTGGTGAACGGGAGAAGACACCACACACACTCACACACACACACCATGCCTGCAGCTCTGCAGCTGCACCCTTCCCTCCTGCTTCCTCCTGCTTCACATGGATTTGGGGAGCTGAAACTGGCACCCGGAGGGCATCCCACCCTCCTGGCAGGCTTCTCCAGGGTGGAGGAGCCAGAAAGCCGGGCGGCGCCTGCCAACCCCAAGCCACACGCAGAGGTGCTTTGAATGAGAGCTGCTGACCCCGCACGCTGGTGCAGGCAGCCACGGGGCAGCACACCGTGCGAGCCAAGCTCCCTCCTTACGCCTAAATGCCTGCATTAGCCTGGATCAATATACCCCATAACCGTTAATCCATGGCCACCCAGGCCAGCAAGAGGCGCCGACAAAGAAGTGCCACCCAACGATGCTGCCGGCGCCTGTGCACACACCATGTGAATGCCAGCCAGAGGGAGAGGCAAACCTAAAACCACCACGACAGACAAAAATCAAACGGGGCACAGGCAGCAGCTGCCACAGGGTGGGAAGAACACGCATCAGCCTTGAGGGGCCTCTGCCATGATGGTGACTGTCAAAATGGCCTGAGAGTGACATGTCAGCGCTAAGATGATGGAGTAGCCGCGACACTCCCAAAGTCGGGCGTAGGACCCTCCTTGCACCTGCAATGCAGAGAATGCATGCCCAGGGTTCTGATCTGCACACCAGCCCCAGAGCTCCCCACGGCTGAAGCGGGCCCGACCTGTGCTGCCGCAGCTGGGCCCCTCCACAATGTGATTACAGACGCACAGCGGCACTGGGCGATGGCAGGGAGGGAAGCCGGGCAGGGACAGAGCTGGGGCCAAGTAAAGGGGGAGGAGGCAAAACCCCCAGCCCATGCCTCACCTTTGATTTGAGCTTCGTACTCCGCGATGATCTCTTTGTCTTTCTTGAACTTAGTTTGAGATGACATCTTCCAAAGCGGCCGAAGGCACCGACAAGCTGTTGGGTTTCTTTCTCCTTTTCTTCTTGTATCCTCTCTCTTGAGCAACGATAATCACACGGCTCTGCTTCCCCGGGGTTTGGGGAGCTAACCTCTTTCCCCAGCCCTGGGGCTGCGAAGCAGGGGCCCCAACCTCCTTCAGGGAGGAAATGTTCCTTATTCACAGGGAAACAGCTGGAGTGAGCCTGCTCTGGTCAGCTCCTCTCGCAAAAGAAGACCCACCCTAGCAGCATGGTAACCTGCCCCAGATTTTCAAGAATTTTCTTCCAAAAAAATAATAGCTGAGAGCACTCAGGCACACACACACACACACACACACACACACATTCACGCATGCACACTCACCCAGACACACGTACACACAGTCATGTGTACACACATCTACACTCACACACACGCACCCTCACATGCACACAACACACTTACTCGCTCACACGCACACACACACATCCACAGAGAGGCGCGGTGCCTCCTGGGTCTTGCAGGCAGCTCCTGGCTCGCTCTCCAAGGCTCAGTGAAGGAGATGGTCAGGTTGCCAAAGGGACGGTCATCTCGCATTCTCCCTCTCCCTCCGTTGCCTCAGGTCTGACAGCCGAGCGAGGATCCAAGCCAGCAGAGCAAGCTGCAAGTTTTCACGCTGCAACGCTCTCGTCTTCCGTGAACCTGGCCGACTGCTCGCTGCTCGCCCTACAGGGCTGGCGGCAGCCGAGCTCTCCCCCACCGCCTCGCCTCGTCACCAGGCTCCGCCTCCCGGATTTTATAACAACTGACACATTGTAGCCTGCAGGAGAGCAGCAGCAATCACTGCAAGGCTCACAAAGGGAAAGGCAGTAGCAGAAAGAACTGGGTTGGCAAGGCCCGGGAGGCTCCTGCTGACTCCAGCCATGAGCCGCTGCGGGGATTTTTCTGTCAAACACCAAAGACCCCCCTTTTCTTGGCCAGGTGCAATTCAATTCAGCCTGTACGTGGAGGGCGTGCCCCAGGCTCGGAGTCCAGGGCAGGGCCTGACCCATGCGGGGAAGAGCCCTGTGATTCGTTGAGCCAGCTCTTGGTGCAGGGACAATGGCCAGCATTTGGAGTTTCACAGTTTCACAAAGTCTTTGAGACCAGCTCTGCAAAGAGGACCTAAGCCAGCGGCTTGTGGGGTTCTGGGCAAACTCAGAACTCACTGTGCCCCATTTTCCTCCTTGAGGAGAGAGGAGGAGGGGCTCTTCCACTCATTATTGCAGTAAATGTTTACTAAAAGCTGAGTCTAGGTTTGGCACCATTGTGCACACAGGAACGAGAAAATGACACACATACATATGTACATACACACACACAAAACGCCTGGACTCCAGGGCCTGTGCCTGCATATCACACAGATCGGGAAGGCCACCACCATTCACAGACTGTCCTCGGCAAAGCAGCCCTGAGCATAGCACAGTTTGAATGGTGCTCCTGGAGTTGAACCAAGCAAGAGGCCCTGGGAAGAGAAGACGAGAAACCAACATAATGGGTCAATTATATAACAGGGCAGGGAAAGCTAAGGGCAGTGAGGAAAGAATACTGCAGGGTGGGGGCCGTCCAGAAGGAGGGACGCTCTTGGGACGATGGAGGAAGAAAGCCAAGCTGCCGCCTGCAGTATCAGCATCCCATGGCACAGCACGGGTTCGAGGCCCGGTTCCTGTGCTTCACATGACCTCCTGCTGAGGCTCTCAGGAAAGCAGTGCTAACCCTGGCACCACGTGGGAGACCAGGCTGGGTTCCTGGCTCTTGGCTTTACCCTCATCCTGCCCTGGCTACGGCAGCCATTTGGAAAGGAAACCAGCAGGTAGAAGATATCTCCTGTCTGTCTGTCTCTCTCTCTCTCTCCCCTAAATATATAAATGAATAATTTTTTAAAAGCAAGACTGCAAAGAGCCCGGCGTGATGGCTCAGTGGTTAAGGCCTCACCTTGCATGCCCAGGATCCCATATGGGCACCAGTTCTAATTCCAGCAGCTCCACTTCCCATCCAGCTCCCTGCCTGTGGCCCGGGAAAGCAGTCGAGGATGGCCCAAAGTTTTGGGACCCTGCACCCATATGGGAGACCTGTAAGAGGCTCCTGGCTTCAGACTGGCTCAGCTCCAGCCGTTGCGGCCACCTGGGGAGTGAATCATCGGACGGAAGATCTTCCTCTCTGTCTCTCCCCTCTGTATATCCGCCTTTCCAATAAAAATAATAATAAAACAACAACAACAAAAAGCAAGACTGCAAAAAAAATTTTTTTAAAAAGCAAGACTGAAAAGCTAAGCTTCCCATAGTAGCCAGCACAGAGAAAGCACTCAACAAATGACAGCAATTATGAGTCTCCAGCTGTGTCATCCCCATCCCCTAGGAGACAAGTCAGGTGGAACAGTCCACTGTGGGCGTATGTACTGGTCTTTTACAGGTGGACTGGAGACTTGGATCCAGCACGTGACATGCCCACAGCCAGCAGCATTGCCACCAATCTCCCACCTGTCAGGAGAGAGCAAGGCTGCAAAACTGGGGTGAAGCACCAGAGGGTGGCCAACCATGCAGTGTCACCCATTTAGATGGTCAGCAACACTTGACAGCCCCCTGATAGAAATGGTCACAAACTTCCCAAAACAGGTGTGGACTCCTGTTAACACATGAATTTGCTTGGGTTTGGAGATGAATCCGATACCCAGGCCAGTCGCTACTGGGTTCTAAGAGGAGTGCCAGCTGCTGGGGTGTCCTCAGCCACGCCAGGCAGGGATGAGAAGGGGTTGGGTTAGACAATGGAGCATGTGGCCAAGGCCCCCAGACACAAGAGTGCAGGGTGCGTTCAGAGCTAGAAGTCCAGCTGGTAAGTCTACATGGAACACAGGAGGTCACAGGGTTTACAACCTGAAGCCATGGCCCTGCAGACTCCCAGGGCCTGCTCAAGGGGCCTCTGCCATTCCCCTTGGATAAGCCAAGAACAGCCAAAGCCATACGAATCCCCTGGGATTGGTAGCAGGGTGCTAAGCCTGTGGTTTCACAGAAAGTGGGCTGTGGACCGAGGGCACCATGGGGCGTAACCGTGTGGATTCTTCTTCTGGCTGCACCACAGGCCTCGGACTGGGGAGCTCTCAAGCAGGTGACCCCACCAGAATGCAGGAGCTTTGCAGACATCAGCTCTCTTCTCCACAACCAAACTTTCAAGTTCAGACATTTTTGGGGGATTCACAGGGTGGGCACTGAGCCACAGAAACATCTCAGAAGAGCCGTAGGAATGGAAGCAGATCCTGGTATAGAGGCCCGCACCCACCAAGGGCGAGTGGGAGCTGGGTGGGTGCTCTGGCTCTGCAAGGCATGAACAGAGACTCCGAGGGCTCTCTGGGGCTCAGTTTTCTGATCTGTCTAGTGATGACACCCTCAGCGGCTGCACTAGAACTTGCATGACCACAGGTTCACCATGCCCGGTACCAAGTATAATCCCCAAGACCCCCACACAAGCTGCCACCTGCCTACCTGCTCCATTGCCAGGGGCCAAGGGCCATCATCACCCCTAGAGGGATAGAAGGCCGGGGTGCTGAGACCACTCACCCAGGTCACACAGCAAGCTGGAGGCTGAGCTGTGACCAAGCACAGGGTCCAGGGACTCAGGCAGTGACTTTATTCCCAGGGGGACATCGGAGGAGGAATTCCTGCCCAGAATTAACCTAATTTTGTCACTCTCTGAATTTGTTTCAAAACACTCTTCAACTCAGGAGTTTTCCATTGAAAACAGAGAATGTGGAGTTAAAAATATCACAAAAACAAGTAGCAAATGACTGGGGGTGAGGCTTCCACGAGAAACAGAGCTAAATAATAGAAAACTCACTGAACCAGTTTCGTTCCTGGTACAATGCAAAAAAAAAAAAAAAAAAGAAAAAGAAAGAAAGAAAAAAAAAAGCTTCACTTGAAGCAAGAGTGACCAGAACCAGAGGAGCTTTCAGTTCAAGCATCTCTGTCTCCTCCCCCAACCCACCATGACTAATTGGGCAACATCCTCCACAGACGGCTACCCACGATGGCATCCTTGGTTGGCGCTATGAACAACCCTGTCATTCTGTCTCCTCTTAGCTCTGCCTGGGGAAGAAGGCATGGAACTCAGTTGGCAGTGCCATCACCAGCAAGCAGAGCACCTACTGAGACATGCATCTTGCAAGCACCCTTCCAAGTTTTTCACCTTCTTAGGTGCCCACAAATGATGCCAGGGAGGTGGCGAGGGGTGAGGTGGACCATACCATCTTTTAATCCCTGTTCTACTGATAAGGAGATGAGCTAGGGAATAGAAACTTTACCACCTAAACCCTATGCCTGGCCTCTCTATTTGGGTCACAGAAGCTAGAAACACCTGACAAGTCAACTACATGACAATTCTTTTTGCAAATCTGCCTGGCAAAAAAAGCTCCATGGGCACAAAGATAAATAAGGACTACTTCCTCTAATACACAGTTCAAACCACGACCTGTCAAACGGGTTTGCAGTGTTGACAGTTGGAAATGTCCCAGATGCCCACCAACGTACAAATGGATAAAGATGTGTTCTCAGCTTACAGTGGAATATGACTCGGCCATCATAAAGGGATGATGTACTGACACATGTCAGAGCATGCGTAAGTGAGCTATATACAAGGGCATCATGCCAGGGCAGGTGCATGGCACAACAGTCAGGATTCCTCCTAGGGGGGCCAGTGCTATGCCACAGTAGCTAGTGCCTGCACCCCACATGGGCACTGCCTCATGTCCCAGCTGCTCCACTTCCAATCCAGCTCTCTGCTAAAGGGCTGGGAAAGCAGTGGAGGATGGCCCCAGTGCTTGGGCCTCTGCAACCCATGCGGGAGACCTGGAGCAAAGAGCCGGCAGCCAGGGTGGCAAACCCCACACATCCCACCCCCATGGGACCAGCGTGGCTGAGTCTTTGGGTGCTGGTGGAGACACTGCAGGCACACACCATGCCACCCCAACACGTGCATCGAGCCCATGGCAGTGGCAGGCATGGCTGAAGAATGAAGTTCTAACTGGACTCCGTGGAAGGA